CCCCTGCTCTTGGCTGGAGTACCAGCTTACCTTTGCCAAGAACCACAACCATCTCGCTGGAGAAGGCGCCACTGATGTCGTGGCGAGCGGCTGGTGAGGGTCCTAGACTTTTTACATCTTGGTGTTCCCTGGACCCTGTTGGACCCGGTCCCCTTCACCTGGTGTCAACCTTGGGTATCTGCGGCATCTTGCACAGATTTCACCTACGTCTCCCACTGCTGTTTCTACAGACGTGGTGCCCATTAGAATAGGTCTGGTGAATTTAAGGTCCATCGTGAATAAAACTTCTATCCTTAAGGAATGTTTCATGTCCCAGAGTTTGGACCTTCTCAGCGTTAGTTAAACACAGACCTCTCCGGGTGAGTCCAGTGTGTTTTCAGAATTATTACCCCACTGTCACTCATACTTTAATACCCAGAGGTCCTTGGGTCATGGAGGAGTTTTGCCGACTGTTTTCTCCAGCTTTGAACCGAGCCTTTTACGAGTTGAGCCTCTTCCGTCCGCTGCTGTGCAAAGCGATCTATTGGTCACCAAAGTATACAACAAAGATTTTTTGTGGGAATTTTCAGACTTCTTGGATGAAATTATGTCAAAATATGAGCAAGTTTTAATTGTTAGGGGGAGTTAAAATTCACATGTGCTACTCTGGAAAGCCTCTGGTAAAAGACTTCTTAGACTTATTGGACTCCTTTGGCCTCACTCAGTTGGTGAACGGCCCGACCCATGAATGTACCCACACACTGGATCTCGCTTTATCTTAAGGTTTACCCATTTGTAATTTATTCAAACTCTTTGCTCTTGCTCGGTGCTGACATGTTTTTACTCTTCAACGGCTGCTCATGTCTCCACTGTTTTTAATAATTTAGACTTGCAGCCCTCTGTGTCTTCCAGCACTGAGGAGCTTTCCCTGTAATTTAATTCCTTGTGCCATACGCCATAATACTGTTGTAAATTCTGTGGCTCCAATTAAAACCAGGCTGATCAAAGCCCAGATCAGACCCTTGGTTAAGTGATCATACCCGTGCCATCAGATGGGAGTGCAGGAGAAATGAAAGTTGAAGATGGACAAACTGCAAGTCTCTTCTGAGACTGAGAGCTGGTGTTGTTTTCAAAGAGCTGTGGAAACTGCAAGAGCAAAACATTTTTCCGACATCATTGCTGCTAACGCTCACAACCCCCTTGTCCTTTATAATACATTAACACTGCTTTTAATGCCCACGTCCCTCTGAAAGCTTACAGAGAACTCTGATCATTTTGTTAACACGGAGCTTTCTCTTGCCTCCCATCATCGGTCCATCTTGCTCCCCTGCCTGGCTGTCTTTGATCACTTAGAGCTTATTTCCCTTTCCTCTCTTGAGAAACTGGTTACCAGTATGAAACCAACTGTGATGTCGTTCCTCCACATCTTCTTAAGGTTGTTACTACTGTTGGTCTTTTTATCCTTAATGTCATTAATGGTAATTTGACCTCCAGCCATTTTAAACATGCTGTGGTGCAACCCGTGTTGAAGAAACCTGACATTGACCCTTCTGCTTTGTCTAACTTTGGCTTTTTTCCCCCAAAATCTTGGGAAAGATCGTTTACACCCAGCTGAAAGCCTTCCTGGATGAATGTAAAATTTTGGATTTAAAACAAACCACAGCAGTGAATCTGCTCTTTTAAGGGTTTTTAATAACATATTTTTAGCAATGTTTTCTGGGAACAGAGTTTTCCTTGTCTTTTAAATTTACAGCTGATGACCATAACATTCTCATCTCCAGACTGGAGCAGTGGGTTCAGTTCTGCAATGGTTTAGGTCTGACCTCTATGAGTCTTCAGAGGGATCATCGTCGCTGCTTCCCTGGGTCCTCGGATCATGTCTCACTGTTCGTATTTCGCCATTCATTAACTTGTCATTATGCTATACAGAGTCTACCACAGTGGCCTGCAAAACCCAACCCAATCATTCCCTGGGGGTTCCTCGGGGTTCCATTCATTGTCCTCTACTGTTCTCTCTGTATTTGCTGCCACTTGGTGCTAGTTTTAGAAAGCATTGTGTTTCATTTATATGCTAATGACCAGAGATGGGCAGTAACGCGTACTTGTAACGCGTTACTGTAATCTGATTACTTTTTTCAAGTAACGAGTAAAGTAAGGGATTACTATTGCAAAAACGGTAATTAGATTACCGTTACTTTCCCGTAGGAACGCTGCGTTACTGCGTTACTAAAACCGTGATTTTTTGCGAGAATGTCTCAGACAGTGACGTAAGCGAGTGCGACGTTCGTGACAACAGCTGTGTGCAGATCAACAATGGATCACATATCGAGTGAGAGAGAGTATGAGCGTGCAGCGTTTAAAGCGTGGAAGTACTGACCTTACTTTGAGTTTGATTCCATAAAAAGTGACAAAAACATTAGGTCCGCTGTGCGTGGGAAGAAAACTTCTTTTTACAGCGAAAAAACCCTAAACTTCCAGAACAAGCAG